ATTATTATTATTATTATTATTATTATTATTATTATTATTATTATTATTATTATTATTATTATTATTATTATTATTGTCATTATTATTGTAATTTGTATTCAATATTCAATTTTGAATTAAAAATTAATAAAATCAATTAATTGAATTTATTTAAATATTTAATCAAGTAATCAAAATTATATATATAATAAAATTAATTATATCTTTTTTTCACAATAATTGATTAGACAAATTACTAATTGTTAATTAATAATAAATTGAATGATTATATTAATAAGATATTGTATTAAGACCAAAATTACCAAATATAAGAATAAGAAAACATGTATAATCAAAATAATTAATTAATTTTGAAATTAATTCTGGAATTTATAAATAATAAAATTATTGAAAACAAATCTATATGATAATAAAATGTATAATTAATAAATATTAATGTAAATTATAAAAAAGAAAAATAAAGAAACAAATCACTTATAAAAAAGTATCTGTTACATAATTATAAAAAGAAAAGATTCCTTTAATCTAAGAAAATAGAATTATATTCTTTGATAGTTAAAAAGAATCTTTAATTAGAGTTCAATAAAATAAAAGTATTATTACTAATTATATTCATTATGATATATATCAAATACAATCTAAAGTATAATTAAAAAATTTACTACTATTTTTTTCTAGTAACAATTACAAATTCATAGAAAAATTACAAGAGATTATATTTCAAAACACAAGAAATCAAATATTTATAATGGTATTCAAAAATCATGAAAACATAATTATAAATGATCCATTGGATACAAAGATCAAATAAGATCAAATTCCATAATTTAATTAATATAATCAGATAAATCAATAAAATTCATGTGATTAAACCAGTTTGGTTTTAAGTTATGATTTAAATTATAATTTGAAATCATAACTTGATATTGAACTAATAGAATTTTTGTATGTGATACTCTGGATTCAAGTTGTAATTTTAATAAATGGTTTGATAGTTATAATTCGATTTGACTATTATTATAAAGATAAATGGTTTGAAAATTATAATTCGGTTCGACTGTTATTATAAAGTCACCAACTTGGAACCAAGCCAAACTAAATCGGATCATTAACATCCCTAAATATGATTCGAAAAAAATTATTATACCAAAATTATCATACCATACATACATGGGGAAGGTTACTAATAAAATAATATCACGTGATAAATGGCATGTCCCTTTACCACTTAATATTCTAGCCATGACGAAAAAAAAGTGTCGATCTGAACTATTGCCAATCCGACATCCAATCATTTGATATTTCCCTTAATTTCTTAAAATTTTAGTTAGTGTCTAGATTAGGTTATATAAAAAACATAGTTTCATTGGCAAATTTTGAATTTTCAAAATCAAGCAATTTTTTGCATTGCAAAATTCCCGTTTTTGATTCACTCGGATCGGGTACGCCAAATCGTGTGAATTCCCGATTCCATCCTCTTTATGATGATCGTGAGATTCGGATCGAATTGGATCCTGATCCTATTTTTGATGATCTGCGACTTAAACGCGTCAATATTTAATTCTCGTTATTAACTTTTAGTGGTGACTTCTTTTCCCATAAGAAATGCCTGTCAATAAAAATCCCCTTCGTAGCCTCTCGACTACAATACCTCAAGTATTTCAAGACTGCCAAAAGTCAACTACTAACCACCGTAAAAATGTAGTTACCTTACATAAAATACAAGAACAGTGTTCTGCAGCTGATTCTGTTCAAATATACGGAAACGGCGAAGGTTCCTCACGTAGTGCTGCCACATCAAGTGCTGTAAAAACTAAGCGCGTTTCTTTGACAAAAGAAAATGGCGAGCATGCATTCAATCAAGAATTTGTACGAAATTTGAATAAATTATTAGCCTTTAAAAAGAAAGACCCGTGCACTGAAAGAGTTATAAAATTCGTTGGGTCGTTTGTGCAATTTATATTGGAAAAAGGTTAATATTCCTTTTTTTGATTTATTTTATTACGTTTTCTTTAATTAAGATACAATTGACTTTTTGACAAAGCAATCGAAGCTGCAAAGGATAATAACGAATCAGAGCAAGATCAAGAGCCTGATATAAGTGATACAATATCTTCGAGATTTGTTGGATTCATACTTGGACATATTATAAAAGGCATCGATGCAAAAGACAAGAATCTAAGACTTCGCGTTTGTCAATTAATTGTTCTTTTCGGCCCAAAAGCCATCAATGTGATTAGGTAACATTTTATATTATCCATTTAAAAAAGATTTCAATTTTATTAATTATTTCTTCAATACAGTAAAGATTTATTTGAAAAACTAAAAAAGAAGTTAACTGAGCGCGTACGCGATAAAGAATTAACAATACGTGCACAGGCAGTAATTGCATTATCTAAATTTCAGGTATCCTGTGAATATATTTGAGTTTTTAATAAATCATCGATCATTAATAATAAAATTTATTTGTTATTACTTAGAGTGAAAACGAACAAAATGCGACAGATAAAATGCTCAGTGCATTGCAATATGACCCAAGCCCGTGAGCCATTATATTAAACTTAAGAAGTAAATTATTTATTTGATTATTTGGTTCAATTTTTCAATGCAAAAATTTTTTAAATAGTGAAGTACGACGTGCCGCCTTGTTTCATATAAATTACAATGAAAGAACTATACCATTGGTCTTGGAACGTGCGCGAGATATTGATCAGGTTATTCGCAAGAATGTATTCGCAAAAGTTATGGAAAACATTGGAGATTTTCGTACTTTGAAAATAGAAGACCGCGAGAAACTTTTGCATTGGGGCCTTACCGATAGGTTGAATCATCATTCGGCGAGAATGTGGCTCTAATCAATATGTTTTAATATTTTTCTAAATTCTTCCAGAGATCCTGCTGTTAAACAAGCTTGCATTAAAATGCTTTCAACAATTTGGATCGAACAGGCGAATAATAACGTGCTGGAGGTATATTATTTTTATATTCATATTTGCACATTGATGTTCAAAATTTAATACATTTATCTGGCTTTATCTCGATTAAAATAGTTTCTGGAAAGATTAGATGTTGTCAGTAGCAATATTGCCAAAGAAGCTCTATTGGCGTTTTTTGCTGCACGTCAAGATTTAACAGAGTCCTTGCAATTCGATGGTGAATTCAAGTTATTATAAGAATTCTATAATGAAAATTATGATCAACACGAGTATATATATTATTTTTTTTTAGATTCATTTTGGAATGATTTAACTGTTGAGAAGGCATTTCTTGTGCGGATTTTCAGTGAATTTTGTAAAGAGGTGATTCAAGTTCTTTTTTTATGTGTGAATTTATTATAATATAATCTAACTATTCAATATTAACAGGATAATGGAAGGTTTGATGAAATAATGCCTGAAGTGACGCGACTCGCTTTTTACATACAAAAATACAATAATTGCATTAACGATTCTTCGGAGGAAGATCAAGTCAATTATGAATTTATCGTAGGGCAGTTATTGACTATCGCAGGGATATTAGACTATAGCGATGAAGTTGGAAGACGAAAAATGTTTACTTTATTACGTAAGGAATGGTCGAATTATTCGTTTATTATAAAGTTGAATTTTTATGATAATTATATAATTTATGTAATTGATATGTTTAGGTGAGATGTTGATGCTACCTCAAATTTCTGATGATCATATTGAACTAATAATGGAAGTTATGAAAAAGACAACTATTAATGAAAAAGACTTCACACGGTTTGTCAAATTGCTTTTCAACTATGGTCTCACCTACGAATTTTAATTCACATCATACCTTTTTATATTTAGATCAATGATCGAGATTATTTCGGATCTTCGTGAAAATTATGATTATGATGAGATATCCCATCGAAAAGCAGCTCAGGTGCTTTAATTGTAATTTTTATTGTAACTATACATATGTAATAAAATTAATATCGATATTAATTAATATTTTAGACTGAGGATGAGCTTACTGTCAACATGTCACACGTTAGTATTAATCCATCCACAATCAAAAGCTTGAGATCTCCTGTTCGTGATAGTTCTCGAGGAAGGTCTGCATCTCCTGTTTTTTCGGACGATGACGACGAGGAGGAAGATCCATCGAAAGCAGTGATAATAGATTTGAAGTGTCTTCAAATAGTGCGGTGTATGCTTGAAATAAATTCGGAGGTTTGTTTTAATAATTAATGATTTCAGCTGTTATTTTTATGAAATTTTACTAATTGTATGATTAACTTTATTAATTATAATAGAGCTTGCGTGATAATCCCTCTGTATATGGTTTATTAAATGATCTTGTTGCACCAAGTGTACAATCCCATGAGCCAATAATCCGTGAAATGGGTGTTCAGTGTCTAGGCTTAAGTTGCTTGCTTGATCAAGTATATATTCATAACTCCATTAAAGATATGATTGCGTATCTGAAATATTTAATTGGCGTTACTTATTGCTAGACATTAGCTCGAGAAAACTTGCTGTTGTTCATACATTGTGTCAAACACGGACATGAATCACTAAAGGCCAAGTCATTGATGGTAAATTTCAAGTTTTTTATTCCAATTTATATTGTTCTAATTAGTAATCAAATAGTTGAATTTTAGGTTATTTTCGATCTTTTGATGACATTCGGCTATGCTAGTATTACTACAAATATGGGACATGTAAAGTTTGATAACATTTACTTGATCTTTGATTTTTTTTTTGAACATATTGCTAAAAAAAATATTTATTAATAAAAAAAGTCTGAGCAAATTCAACATTTGATTAATTCGTCTTTGAATGATGAAAGTCCAGAAGTTCAGGCTATTGCAGTTGAAGGTGTAGCCAAACTAATGTTATCTAAAATTTTACGAGATAAGGAGGTTGGTTTGACAACATTTCGTTCGCGTTATTTATAATTTTTATACTAAACTAAAAAAAAAATACTTATTATACCTTGCATTAGATCTTGCAAGAATTAGTCGTGTTATACTTTAATAGTGAAACTGTTGAAAATCTTCGTCTAAGACAGTGTTTAAGTTACTTTTTACCAGTATATTGTCATTCTTCTCATGAGAACCAAAAAGTTATGCAACAGGTATTAGTTTATAATTTTATTTATTTGTTTATTTTTTAAGTTTTATTTTTAATCGATTTCCTCTTCAAAGATTTTTGTCCCTGCGTTTATGGAACTGAATCGAATTCACATGAACAAGAGTAAAAGTCAAGAAATGACACCACCCATACAAATAGCCCAGCAATTGATCGATTGGACAGATCCTAATCAAGTCGTGTATGTTTTTCTATTATAAGATATGATTTAGTATTTGAGTCGCATGAAAGTTTAATAATTTTATTTTAAATTTAAATTAGAAAATCCGAAATTATTCAAGAAGAAATTGATTATGGTCTCCAGGCTGATATTGCAATTGACATATTGAAAGAATTATTCTTGGAACAAAATAGTATTTGTTCTATATATATGTCTTGGCTTTCATCACCTTATATGGTATTAGCTATTTAAATAACTGATTTTTTTTGGTTAATAGGGGATACACGTAAATTATTATGTCAGATACTCATTAAAATTCATGTCGATGAGAATGCTAGTATCTTGCGATTAAAAAAGCTTGCGTTTCTCACTGGCAATTTAAAACAGGTATCTAATTTATAATACTTAAGCATTTGAATGAAATTAATACAAAACACACGTAACATGTGTTTATTATATTGCCAATAATCCTTATCCGCTTTGATCCTTCTTTAGCGAAGACCTTTGAAAGACGCAACAGCTAAAAACGCAGTCAACAAATTTGAGAATTTGCTACTCCGATATTTTGATGACTCGCCAGAAACGTTAGATGATGATGAAATTGCGCAGTTAGATGAAATTAGAGCATTCGTAGAAGATATTGAAGATGGTTGGCATTTATAATAATAAATCTATAATCGACAATAAATTGTATTTTTTAAATTCTATAAACTTCTTAGCTAGGAACTAAATTCAAAATTTAATCCAAGAATAGTTCTTTCTATTATAATGGATAAATTTTGAATTTAAAGTTTATAGAATTTAAAACATACAATTTATTGTTGATTATAGGTGATTTGCACCATATATCAAGATTTTAATCGGTCTCCACTATAAAGGAATCCATTATAATGTAATATTATTATTCTTAGATGACGATTACTCTTCAATTAACGTACCAATCCGAACTAGTCGAGCCCGGTAAATACCATTGATAACTATTAAATTTTTTATTGATCATGTCATTGATAATATTTATTACTTGAATAGATCGAGTAAGGCAACTGCATTGGCGAATCTACATAAAGAAATAGACGATATTCTTGATGACGAAGATTCTTCAGAAGAATCAATATGATCGGATATTAAAGTAGATTTTGCAACGAAACATAAAGAGGATTCTATTGAGATAATTTACTGATTGATTTAATTTTAATGTAGAATTCTCAACATGTGGATTTATTTAATTGAGGGTTCCAGGTCTTCGTTTAGAATTACTCAATACATGATAATAAAAAATGGAGTAAAAAGTTCTTACTATATAGATAATTTTATTAAAACATATACTAGAACAAAAAATTTTCGAGGGTTATACTACTCAAGAAACTCTGCTTTTTTCCTTCGATAGTATAATCATTATTGCTATTACCTGTGAAATTTGAATTATTCTCAAACCACGTATTTTTGATAAAATTAATCAACAGGCTGTAATTTTTCACAATTACAATAAGAACTCGATTTAACGACTATACGATTTAGTGATGATTTGATTTTGCTATTCCTATGAATGGGAAATCTGTATGCATGAAAAATTATACAGTCAGGGCTCGATTTACCGATGAAACACAGTGATCTGTCGCTAACTCGCGATTTCATTAAATCGCATATAGCGATAGTGCATACCATCTAAAGTCATCAAACGTTTGTATTTTATAAATGGATAAACTTCTTTACTAAGAAGTAGATACAAAAATACAACCTTTAGATGGTATGCACCATATATTTTTTATAATGTGGAGCAAGTTTTCTGACGAAATATATTACATTTTTTTTCTAATTTCCAATTTTAACTGAAAAAAATCTCTTAAAAAAAATAAGTATAATTATTATTAATTACAAAAAATTTATATAATTTTGTATATATTTATTCATTACATTAAAAAAATTCTGGTTACTTTTGTCGCCAACTGCTATCGCTATATAATCTTAACCCTGATCCTAAACCTGACCGGCGACAAATAATTCACTTAGTTTAACCATATCGGCATTAATTCGATTGGCTGAAAATAGACCAATCACATGATTATGCAAAAATCATGTGACAGGTGAGCGAATCGAATTTACTACAGTTAACAATATTCTCTATATAGTCTATTACTTGTTGATATAGTCTATCGTCGGACTTCTGATTATCATAAATAGATGATTAAAAATCAGTATTTCGCGCGACTTTAATATTAATCAACAACACCCCTGGTCAATTCAAAAACCCAAGAACCAATTATATTATAAAAGAATCATCGAAGATAGAGATGTTAAGTCATCCATTCATTTATTGATTTATCAAAAATACTGGCAGAAAACCCGTTTTCAATTCATATGATAATTAATAATTAGATATATATAGCAAGTCATGTATATTGTGGCAGGGTGCGAACAAAAACAACAGACGGAAAAATACTGTTTTGCAATCAACTTAAAAATAATGATCATCATCATCATCGACGTGCAGTGAACATAAAATGAGTGCACGCTATATTAACGTTATATAATACATGTTACACTTTGATCAGCTATGAATCGAAAATCGAAAATTATAATTGTGATAGTTAACCCAAGTTCTAATAATCATTACATATATTTATCTTTTTTATGTGTTTTGAGTATGTGCAAGTGTAGTATGTGTGTGAATTTATGTTAATTTGCATTGCCACCCCCCCCCCCAAATTTTTAATCTTCCACAAAATTTTTTCTTGAAGCTATTTACAAAATTGTTGACAAAGATTTGGAAAAAAAGTAAATCGAAAAAAAAAGTATAAACACAGAAGAGAAAATTCAAAAAAAAAATCGAAATCGAAAAACTAATAAAAATTATGTATAGGAAAGAAAAGGTTGTGATTGAATGGGAATGTAATTTTGTTTTGTGTGTTAATGTCAAATATTATTATAATCTACGAAATAAAAAAATAATTTACAAGAAAAATATAAAAACGCAATACGCGAAATGATTTTGTGGATTTTCGCGATACGCTTTTTTATACATGAGTTCGATGAAGTGAAAAAAAATGATGTGATGAAAATGCATGAAAAATGAATAAACAAAAGAAAGAAAAATTCCAAACCAAAGCCAACAAAAAGAAAGGAACGATAAGAAAAAGGCAGATTTTTGATGATACACGTTAATAAAAAACAATAAAAAAAACATTAATTAATTTATCAACAAATGCAATAATGAAAAGGAACAAAATCCAAAGATCATAAAGAATTTGATTTAAGATATTTTCCCGAGATACCACCACCACCACCTATACCATTATTATTACTATTGCTATTACTATTATTAATATTAGGTCCTCCTATTCCCACAGCACCGGCCAAAGTTGCTTGAGCACACTGAGCAGCATTATCACTTCGTAAATGACGATTAAGCGCATCCAATCTCGCAAATGCACGTCCACAGTTCGTACATACATGTGGTTTCAATCCTAAATGCAATTTCTGATGTCTTTTAAGATCATGCTGTCGGGCAAAAGCACGCGGACAACCGGGATAATTGCAAATGAAGGGTCGTTCATCGGTGTGTGTACGAAGATGTGATTTCAGATTGTATTGACGCGTGAAAGTTTTTGGACAATGTTCATGCGGACAGGCGAAAGGTGCAGCTGATTTTGTGGTCCTTCGCGATGATTTTGTTGGTGGCGGCGCCAAAGCTGTTTCAATGTGAAGTCGCTGTGAGATATCCGAGTTGGTTGGCGAGGGAATAGGATATGGCGCATGTTGTTGTGATGATGATTTGTTGCGACGATAAACATGTGATTCACTTTCATGTTTTATCGAAGCGCCGGCAAATTTTCGAAGAAATAAAGTTTCATCAAAAGATTTATTGTGTACAAATGAATCACTTGCAAAGAAATCTCGACTGTCCAACGAAGGAGGCATATCGTGCGAGTAAACCTTCGTGTCAAAATCAAATAAGGAGGTCTGTTCATCGAGTGGTGACAGCGGTGATAAAGGTGAGAAAGTAGAATGTGGCGAGAATTTCGAATGCTGCGAGAGATCTGGAGACGCGAGACCATTAACATAAGATTGCACGTCTTCGACATTTGCTTGGATTGGGAAACATTCTGCCATCGTTGTAAACAGTTGTGACTCGTCTAAAAATAAAAATCGTCAAAGTTTTTAATGGAACGTGTCCAAGCTATAAAAACTCATCAAAAAAAATTATACCTTGCGGATATGAAAAATGCGGGATTGACATATCTTTGGCTAATGTCAACGCGACATTATAGTCATTATCAAAAATCGATTGCTGAGGCTCCAATTTAATATGGAATTCAGGAGAATTTGTAATTGACGAGAAACTATCATTCATGTCCGAAAGATCGTTTGATATACAACTATGTTCATCCGAAAAACTATTACGATGGGATTGTTGGTGATGTTCGTGCTCGTGTGGATGATGCTGAAAGTGGTGGTGATCGTGATGCTGAAATTCGTGGTGAACTTCGGGATTATTATTATTATTATTACTATTATTATTGTTGTTGTTGTTGTTGTTGTTGTTATTATTATTATTATTATTATTATTGTTATTATTCGTGTTATTCTCGAATGCAAAGACTGGCGGATAATAGTAATATTGAGTGTCTGGTATAGTGAAGGGCTCTACCATTGAGGTAGCCGAATAAGTTAAAGTATCAGAGTGATTATTATAATATGGTATTTCGTATTTTTGGTTTAATTCGTCAACAGGCGTAAAGAGACCGAGATTATCAAGGTCTGGTGGAACAACTTGATCGTCCAGTTGTTGTCGTTGCAGTTGCAGTTCCTCAGGCTGATGTGAGGGAGGGGGTGGTGTTGGCGAATGAGGTGTTAGAGGTTGCTCCATTGGTGACGACGAACATTCCTTCATACTAATAATGTTATTGTTATTGTTGGCGTTATTCACATTACTATTATTATTATTATTATTATTATTATTTTCATTACACGTAGCCATATTCACAGTAGCGGTCGTAATTGTAGTAGTAGAATTGTTATTAGTATTGGAACTATTAGAATTGAGAACAGACTCTGTCGAAAGTTCGTGTTCAAAATCTGGACAAAACGGAGCAGCGATAGAACAAATAGTTGGAGTAATTGTTGCTTCGCTATGATAATTCGAGTCATTTTGTTGGTGATGCTTCATCATCTTGACCAAATATTATTATTGTTTAGACTATTGATTGCGATTGGTATTATTATTGACTACGTGACAGTTTATTATTATGCAGTTGGAGGTTTTGAAAAGTGTGATTGATTATGCAGATGATGGTTTGATTAATTATTATAGTACAAAATGGAGTTAATACAATTATTACAGTTATTATTATAATTTAACTAAACTACTTCATTGAAGTGACCAAATTTAACATTTCATGATGCTGATGCTGATGCTGATGAAAAATTTAGAAATAATCGTTACAAGCAAAAATAAATTTTCTGGATAGTAATAATAGTAATGATGATGATGATGGTGGTGGTGGTGGTGTGGGCTTCGCTTGAGGCTGCTTTTATAATATATCTTTCTGAGCACGTTTTGGTAGTGATTCATTAATTATCGTTATCTTTGGTTAGTGTTATTTTATATTTGTTTTTTTTTGTGTGGATATGTCTGTTTATTTATTTGTGAAAGTGGTACATTGTGTATGTACGGTGGTCGTAGAAGGTTAACGAAGAATTTCTGATTCTGAAAGTGACAATATCATATTTTTTTTCTTTTTTTTTTTTATAGATGATCACAATCATAATAAGCTATTTTATCACACGAATTGACAACTGAGTTATAGTTTAGTGTGTTTAAAGGTAACGTTAGTAGTACTAGCTCATCTTGTTTCAGTAAGTAATTGAATCGTCGGTGTGATTGATGAATAAAAAATATATCCTAAAAGAACGAGACGCGTAACCTTGAATTTCATTAAATGCTGTATATTATTGAATACAGTCAAACTATTGAATAACGGTTTAGGTTTTTTTTAATATCGATATTAATACCAGATATAGAAGATGTGTTTTACGATCTCTAATACGAGAGTGTGTTTAAATTTGGTGGATGCCTGTTTGCATATACGTAAACAGATAATACGAGAAGGGATGTCAACAGAAAAAAGTCTGACAAAATCTTTTTTTCTGAGGCGAAGTTTGTTAAAGCAGCGACGGAAAATTACACAAGAAAAGTGACTATTACGAAATTTGGTAAGAGATAATTTGTGTGTGGGATGAGTCGAACTCTTCGTGGAGAAAAAACCGGAAAAGATAAACTTTTTTTTCGCAGGTTGTGTATCTCTGTGTGTGTGTGTGTGTGTGTGTGTTTTGTGTGTGATAGTGACGATGGGTGCATGTTTGGATAATCAGCTGAACATGCTTGTATTATTTACGCAAAGCCAGCGGATTGTGATATTGTAGTGGTTTGTTTGGTTAAAGTTTTCGAATCTCGTGAAAAGTGGTGGTTTTTTTCCTGATTTTGTAGTTTTCCTGCTTGTGTTTTGTCACATTTCTTTTCTTCACGCTGCACTGCCTCTGTCTATTATCAAATATGATGGAAATTCCGTAATCATGGCGGTGACAATAGAGAACTGAAGAAGATTGTGTTTTGATAATTGCGCAACGATATCTCTTTTATGGGGATAAATAACAGCGGAGTCAATCACATACGAGATTATTCATTCACTATCACATCATTACTACCTGGCGCGCTGATTTATTTTGATCCATACATAATACGTAATGAAATTTTTTCGTCAAAAGAATTCGATTGGTCCTTTTTAATCTCCGAAAATACTTGATGGCGAATATAAAATAAAATAAAAATGGTTAATCCACTTTTTTCTTTTGGACGCATGCTGCTGCTGCGTAGATCCAATCGTCCATACGACGCATGCGGTCTGATTAATTAAATTAACAGATGGATGAGCGAAGTTAAGGGTCTTCCTTTGAGTTGATAGGTTGTCGTCGTCTTACTAGTAAATAGCCTTTTGTCGTCGTGACTTTTTTGTTGCTATATTTGAAGAAGAAGAAAAGGGATGTTTTTTAATGTTGTCAGCTGAGTTCTCGAGTTAGTGATCTTTTCTTGTTTACTAAATTTAAATCCGTGTAACAATATAAATCAGATTTAGCAAACGAGGATGTTGAAAACGTGAAAATGAAACATAATGATTAACGCATTGACCATTGATGTGTATAAATTCAGAGTTTCGATAATTAGTTTAGCTCGGATTAAAATTAATCGTCGTTTATCAAGTATAAAAGATATTTCTTTCTTTCTGGTGGAATTTTCCCATCACCTTCATTCTCGTTAATCGACTTCAATTGATTGATTGATTGATTGATTGATTGATTGATCGATTGATTGATTGATTGAATAAATTAAATTACCAAAAACCACCGAAATTTTTATTACAATAAAATTTACAATAGAGGGATACACGCGAGGATTTTGATGTCATGTGTATCATGTGTTTTTTTTTTGTGTCATGGAGAGTCTAAGCCAAGAAACAAGTTGCGATTTGGATTTTTATTGAAAGTGGTTTGGGTTGTGATTTTTATGGCGTGTGATTTGTGATTTTAAAACACGTTCGAGAGAGAAGGTGATTTCTACTAGATAATGCATAGAAAAAAAAGATCAAAAGATGTGATGTGTGTGAATTCAATGTTTATTACATCCCCTTTCGAATTATCTTATCATTCCCCGCCCAAAAATCTCCAGAGTAGCACTGTAAATCAATTAGTCACACATTGTTGATAACAATGTCGGCGGTAATAATAATAATAATAATAATAATAATAATAATAATAATAATAATAATAATAATAATAATAATAGTAATAGTAATAATAATAGTAATAGTAATAATAATAATAATAGTAATAGTAATAATAATAGTAATAGTGACTACACTGTAGCATTCGTAAATAATAATAGTAATAATAATAATAGATAGATCGATAGAGCGTGACTACACTATAGCATAAATAAATAATAGATAGATCGATAGAACAAAATATGCCAAACGATGAAATAGTGTAAATTCAAAAATCTTATTATTATAAAAGCCACGTTTGTAGTAATTTTTTTTAGCTCACGCGCGCTCTTAAATTTGTCATTGTTCAATCAGTTATTGTTATGATTATTTTGATTAAGATTGTTATGACCAGTCGTCAATAAACCGTTTTTTACTTTGGACACAACTTCTCGCGCGCACTTTCTTTGTCAATTTCTTTTTCGTGTGTGTTGATATCATAAGTATATTTTATTTACAGTGGCAGTGTCCATATCAGAAAGAAACGGAATTATACATTTTTTATTTACGATGTTCGGGTAAAGAGACCTGTTTGAGGCGAGGCGATATTTTTTCCGTTCTGTGTCTCCTCTTTCTCGATTGAGATTTCAATAATTGAAAAATTAAACAATGATTGCCTAATTTGGGATTAATGTGATCGTCGTAGATGTTAACCGAGCAACTAGATTTATTTCTGATTTCTTCCGTAATAATTATTTTATTGGTTTGCTAGAGTGAGAAAAAGATCAATCGATCATCTAATCACTCAATTAAAATCGAAATAATAAAAAGAAGACAATCATGAACAAAAATCTTTCTCGTTATTCTTTCTTTTTTTGGGATCTAATTAAAATCAGTCGATTATCTAGCAAATAGACATTGGAAAATAACGCTAATAATGGTATCAATGAAAACGATGTCATACGATGAAAATAACAGATGTTGTTCTACATGTGCCAATTTGAATGATAACGTCGATATATAATGTAAAATCATGAATTTGGGTTCGAATTCAAATAATAAATCTGCACATGTACTATATACGACAGGGTCTAACATAAACTTGTAATCTCGAACAAACATATACAAACAAGCATAATCATTTCCTTTTTCCCACGAAAGGATTCAATTCGGATGATTTTAAGCCACACATTATATAAATAGTTCTATTCTATAGTAGTTAACGAAAAACGAGATTCGATTTTCAAATCGTGTAAAATATTTATATATATTTATATATATTCGAATGCACAGTTTTCGGTTTAAACTTTTTTGAGATCTACACTTTTCTGTCAAACAAGAATATCGATATATTTTGTATAAATATATATATATATTTATTATTTAATTATGCTCTGCCACTTTAATTTTCCTTGACGCAGATAAATAAAATATTTATGCTACCCCAATGTTAGCGATTTTACCTTCAAAATACAGGATTCTGACGTGTTTCTCGCTGTTTAGCGCCAAATTCTAATGTCTATGTGTCTGCTATTATAATAACTATAGTTGACAGTTATTTATTATGATGAAGACTATTTTTTGTTAGGAAGGAACCCCGACTAGATAATTATGCCGATCTTGCATTCTAGCTTTCGACCAGTGTATCTTGTTTACTTACCTTATCTGCCTGCAACTTTAAAAAATTGATTACATTACAGCACATTACATTGCATTTTTTAAAGGAGGATTTTGTTCGATTCCGTGCGAAATATGAGATCTCGAAGATTATATCTTTTCTCTCATCATTATTATTATGAATTACTATTATTACGAGTACTTGGTGTTACAAACGACAATTACGCAAGATTTAAACTTTTGCATATACATGAGATTTTTAGATTTGGCGAGTAAACATCTCAATTATTTTTCTTCGCAATTTTCTCGTGCTTAAGAGGCGAAGGCGGCTAGCGACTAACATCGTCAACAACTACATCAACAAAAACAAATATTCTACTACGAGGAAAGTTATTATTATTCTTACCTGCGTAATTTGATCCGAGAAATCCTTACTCACTCGCTACTGCATTGTCATTAATTTTTTAACAACTAAAGCAATTAATGTCGAATTTCTACAAGATCATGTGATCATCTTTTACATGATATCTTTTTGTTCAAAATGCGAATTCGCACTTCTAAATTCTTCCTTTGACTTTTAAATCTGTGGTAATCGCGTTGATTTCTAGCAATTGAATTCGATTTATTAGATGTGATCAATTTTAACGAACTGGAATCATCCCTTGGATTCGTTAAAATTGTTATCATTTCAACAAAGATTTCAATTCAATTACAAATGAGAGAAAAAATAAATATAATGTAGCTATTCGTTTATGAACACGTCGATTGGAAAGGTACGAGGTTGTTCAGTTTAATTTAATGATCTAAATAAGATCTTTATACAGAGGAATTACCAAATATGACGCGTAATTCTACAAGTGAAGGTCTCTTCCAATCATAATTTACGCGTCTTCTATGCTGATCTTTCGCGTATCTTTAAATATAAAACTATCTTTTCGCAGAGAAACGTGTTACCAGTGTAACTTGAATATAATTGGGTAAATATTTCAATTTTTTTTTGAAAGGTGTAAAAGATATGCAGCGCGAGCGCGACCTTTTTCTGTCACCGTATTTCCCGCTCCCTTTCCTTTTCTTCTGTCCAACCAAAAAACGAATTCTTCTCTTTGAGTAGTTTATTTGTGATTCGAAGTCACGTAAAATAAGAATTATTTTAAGAACATTAGTTTAAAGTATGTTCATTAGACGAATTTTTTGCTCGTGCCTAGAAATTCGAGTAAATTAACGTGTACTAAATACAGAAAAAACTCTAAAAATATTGAATGTAATTGGTTGACAGAGATGAGCGAGAATACACCTCAAGGGCCGTCGAAACGACCTAGCAGGTCACCTATACGACAATATTTCAATAGAATGCCTCTATCAGATGTCACACATTCTGTCGGGAATTCATACATTCCTAGAGAACCGCAATCTCCTACACCAACTCAACCTCCAACTAAACGACCAAAACTATCAAGCAAAATAATTGATGAGAATGATATAAAGACTCTTGACAATAAGAATTCCTTAAAGCCGCCGACGTTGACACCGCCTATCAAACGTGTATCCACCGAAAAGTCAGAATCCGTCTACAAGAATACGATATGGCGAACTCACCGAAATCGTATGGGCCCCTTTGATATCTTGATGAGAAGAGAACTTTGGGGCACGGCTAATGGTGGTTCCGTTTTAGCTAATAACACTTGGCGAGGTTTATATTTTTAATTTTGAGTTAATTTTATTATTTGTGAATTTATTATTATAATGTTAAACAATTTTGTTTAGCCTCTACAAGATTTATGATCAAAGATTTCGTAAGCACCGATAATGATGTATACCATTTTTATGGAGAAACTCGACACATTGCACCATTTGCTTGTTCATTTAGTCATGGTTGGTAGCGGAATGTTTTATTTATTGCTTTACTTTCTTTTTGTATATTTTTTTGACTTTTTTCATCAATGTAGGAGTTGGAAATATCGATGGAAGGTTTTTAGCGGTGGCAGACGAAGAAGGGGTGATTTCACTCTTGGATACTCGAGTTGATAATAGGATTGAAATGGGTGGGTACGAGGTATCTAAAGCCTCGTCAAATGTTTTCTTTTACATTATCAAATCAGTGTTGTATCTTTTTTTCTGTGTAAATTTTAGAGAGATCGCGAGTACAATTCCAAGCACATGAAAATGCTGTTTTCGAGGTTCAATGGAATTATGATGATACATCATTGGTATTTTTCATCTTACTGTTTCAGTCTAAAAAAAATTACTAATTTATGTAAGATTTACATTAATTTAAAATAAATTTAGATAACAGCTTCGGGTGATCAATCAGCACGTCTATGGGATGTAGAAACACAAAAGTGCAAGGCCGTATTCGAGGGACATACTTGTAGTATTAAGGCGATTGCCTACAATCCAAAAACCCCGGGTAATTAATAGATATTTCCAATAATTAATCATTCAATTAATCAATCAATCAAAATTAACTTTTGATTTGTTTTTTAACTTGTAGAAATTTGGGTGACAGCTTCCAGAGATGGACACATTCACATCTGGGATGAACGTACCAATTCATCTCGGATAATTGAAACAAGTATATATTATTATTAATAATATGCTAAATGAACTCGGTTTATTCTTTTAAATTTAATTTTTGCGATTTCTTGAAATAAATAGCGAAATTTTATGCACCGACAAATACGATAAATTACGCACATACTGGTTTTCAAGGCATCAAAAGAACTCGACTGAGTGATCCAACTCCAATTCGGGTATATATAATATACGTTTCAATTATTTTTCAGTGACATTCATCGAAATCTCATTATTTGTTATAGAATAATGCGACGAAGCCAACTAGTGTCACAGGTGTTCAATTCCTCAAACATAATGAGAATCTGTTGGCTTCTTCAGGTGCTGCGGATGGGTACGTGTAGGATAATGATGATTATAGAAATATGTAATGCGATTATATGGAATATATAAAATGCAAAGTAACCTTTACTTGATTAATTTTTTAAAGCATAATCAAGTATTGGGACATGCGATACCACGGTCTTGCTAAATTTCCTGTTCAAACTTCAACCGATTGCTCACCTGCTAAACGACCTCATGGTACATATTAAATTAATAATGTTGACAGTGAATAAGTATTTATCGATCGAAAGTTAAAACATTTTATTCTTTTTCAACTTTGAGGAATATCGTGTTTGACTTTGGATCACAGTGGTCGTCGGTTATACGCAAACAGCACGGACAATTAGTAAGCAAATCACGAAGTTTCTCAATTTAAAGTCCATCACTCCATTATGTCAAAAATATATAACAATATCTGCAGTATTTACGTATACAACACCGCAGACTTGGGAATCCCAATAACCCGATTCCATCATCCAACCTACCGATGCTCGTCTTTTTACATCCGAATGGGACTATCGCCGGATGATCGATACCTGATGTCTGGGTCAAGTGATCGCGGGATTCACATTTGGGAAACTGACGCACCTGAACGACCGCCTATTATTTTGCAAGGCCACGAGCATGAAGTTACGAGTGTTGCTTGGTGTAGAAGTGACTTTGATATTGTAAGTTGAACGGAATCATTCATTCATCCATTATAATCAATCGAAAAATTTACTATCTATTTCTCACAGATTGCTTCTTGTTCGGATGATCTAACATTACGTGTTTGGCATCGTCGCGGGTTGGGTGAAGACTAAGAATGAACGTTACAAATCAAAAGTCATTATTTTATCATATCCTTCCTATAATTATAATTAATGTCTTAATGTTTATGCTATAATAATTTTATCTTATTTAACAACTTGTGTTTCATCTTGTACTAACTGCCTAAATGAGAACATGTTTATGTGTTGAACAGTTTACCTGCGCGATCAAGTTTTTTAGTCACGAGCGGTTTTGTTAATTATATTTTGGGTTTCACAGGACTCTTTAGTTGGCTTTGTGAATTTGAGCAATATCAAACTAGATTAGATTATTCTAAAAATCACTAGCAAAAAATATACAATTAATAGATATAATTTTATGGCAGTTACAATTTTGGCATTTCAGAATTTGATAACTATTCATTAGTTCTTGACGTTAATAAAGCAATTTTGGTAATTAACTTATATAATGACAGTAAATTGTGTCACATAATTTCAACAAATTGTCAAAATCTAAATTTTAATATTATTTCGTATAAACAATAAGTACAATAAATAATTCCTTATTTTTGAAGTCAGAAAATAATCTGAAGGGTTTTCTGGATATATAATCAGTCATATAGATGGTGTGCAATCTATTATTTATATTGAAATGTCATCATGAAAATTCATTTTTAACGCCCAAATATATCAATGTCAAACACGGACAATAGTTGTAAGTTTATTAAACTTGTTTGCATTTTAAATAATCAAGATAGTTTTATACTTCGTGACAACCCTATTTTTATGCCAGTCTTTTCACCACCATACGCGCCTCCCTGTGACGTCACGACTTGTTTAACACTCTTGATTTTCTTTTTGGCCTTTTCATATTTCTTACGATGTTTGACTCGTGGATTTCGTTGATCCTTATTACGATGTGGCGTTAATCCTTTATTCTTGAGAATTTGGTAGTTGATTTGTCGCTTGGCACCCTCTGGCAAATTATTGGAATCCTCGGATGCATTGTTTCTAAATCAATTTATATATTATTAATAATGCAGTAAAAAGGTACTACAGTAATTATTAAGGATAATTATATACCTTTTCTGTTCCTTTTGAGCATCGTATTGTTTTCGTTTTTCAAGCTTTTTCGATTCTGTGGCCTTTTTTATTGTTTCATAATAATCGTTGGAGTCTTGAGAACCAAACTCAAGCGAGTCTTTTTTATCAGCTTCGTCCCAGTCAAGGTCATCTAACTCGGCTTCCGGATTGGGTTTCTTTCTTGTTGTTTGCATATTGCTATTTCTATATAGGCCTTTATATGGAATATCGGTATCACCCGTGTACCGGTTCGACTTCAGACGCTTAGAAGCGTTCTATGATGACAATCGGATATTAAATTAATATCATGCATGAAAAATATACATTTTTGTCCAATATTTTTTCATTCTTCGTTATTAATAAAATACCTGATCAATTTTTGCAGCATACTGTCGCAACGAACTTTTCTTTTGTGCCTTTTCTTCGGCATCTATTTCGTCCATAACATCCAAATCGCCAAGATCCGAGGACATCTAAGATATTTCATAAAACCAAAATGTTTTTAAAAGCACGAAAAAGCAAAATTAATATCAAATAAAAACCAAGAAAACAAACTCTTTTTCGCTTCTTTTTTTTGTTATCTTGTAAGCTAACAAATTCGTCCTCTAATAGCAACAGAGAAGTTTTAGAGGTAGGCAAAGGTGATAGTCCTATATTATTATTATTATTGTGAAAATCATCATCATCCTCCTCTTCACCCTGTGAATGTATTGGACTAATGATGACTACTTTTTTTGGGGCTGCTGATTTTTTGGAGGCGCTGCTTTTCAACGCGGATTTGAGAGAAAGTGCCTCTGTTGAATCAAGAGCATTGATAATGACTGATCGCTTAGGTACTGAGTCTAATAAAAATAACATAATACATTTGTATTTATTATATATTTCGAGATGTTTTACCGAAGACAGATATATAGAATAATTATCGAAAAAAATCTTTTCGCGTACCATTGCTAACAGTCTCATGTTCATCCTCAACTTTCTTTATATATCGTTTAATCGGTTCTTGCATCTTTTTTTCGACTTCTCCAAGTTTATCCAGATCTTTGCGTATTTCTAACAGAGCATTAAATACAGGATGCTGCCACAATCGAGGCGTCGCTGACGATTTCAAAACGAAATAAAAAGATATATTCATCAGATAATTGATCAATGTTTGATATTTCAAGGACAGGAAATTGTGAACATGGTCGTCCTCTTTCTTCTGGTTCCTCTCTTTAGCTCTTCGAATGATAAAAAACCGAAAAAGTTACTCATAATATCATAGGTAAATAGATGGACAGATATATAATATACTCACTTTTCCAAAATAGAAGAAATTTCTTTAGTAGCTGTATACTTTTCGCGAAATTCATTTGCCAGCTCTAATAATTCTGGTGAATTGTTTTTTATGACTTTGAAGATCTCATCGGGGGAAGCATTATTTCTTTCCAGAACTAATATTTCTTCTTGAAGATCGCTGAAGTCCGCCAAAACAAATCAATATAAATATCACAATAAAAATTATGAGAGAACAAGTAATATAATTGAATACATCTTACTTTACTGAAGAAATAGATTTAAGATCTTGATTGACACTTTCGATTAGCTGCCTGTCGTTTTCATCGTCCTATGATAAAAATTTAATTGTTTTAATGCGGAAATCTTTTAATTGTAATCATATATTAGTTCATGAGATGCAACAACGTGAAATAAAAAAATCTTACCTTGTCCAACGCGGCCCCAGTAGACCATCCAGCGAAAAACTCTTTCTCTACGAAATCTTCCTCAGTCATCTTGCTAATTCTCTTCTTTTGCAATCTTAATGCCTCTTCTTCTTCCTCCTTTGCATCGTCAAAATCTGAGAGTTCATCAGCATCGTAATAGGCGTGTTTTGACTTTCCCCATGTTTCTTTATCATAATCTTCTACTTCATGATCATTGCCAGAGAGTGTTACATCGAGATCAAATTCATCGGAATCATCAACCTCCTCTTCTTCTTCCCCTTCCTCTTGATCATCATCATCTTCTTCACTTTCGTCTAATGACAAAGCAAGAACTTCTTCCTCCGAAAGTTCATAATCATCTGTAGAACATATCTTGATCAATGCAGGTTTAGCCAAGAAAATATCGATAGCTCAATTTTTCAAGAATTTTACCACGCTGATTATTTCTTTCGTCTGGATCAAGTGAAATAATGTCTCTGTTTTCCATGACTAAAATATTTGTAATAAATTAGAAGAATTCGAAGTAATTTCGAGATTAACCCAAAACCTAATTACATTCGTCTTCTGAGTCGTGTTCGACATCAGCCCATGTCTTAATGGCTTTTATTCTGCTACCACGCATATCATATTTATCATCGGCTGTCTCCGATCTAGGGTTTCGAAGGTTCTTTTTCTTTTGTCCCATTGTTAAGAAACAAAAAATTTGGCTTAAAATTTTTTGATACGAGATTTCAAATGTCGGTCAGAATTATAAAATTTCGCGTGATTTTTCAAATTCAAATATGAATTCACTTCGACGGGTAGTAGTCACTGGTTTAGGCCTTGTGACCCCTTTAGCAACAGGAGTTCAAAAAACTTGGCAAGAACTAATAAATGGTAACTGTGGAATAATATCTTTGGTACCTCACGAAGGAACGGAAAAAAAGGAGGATACGACAATATTGCCAGTATATAGTGGGTTTGAGGGGTTGCCGTCAACTGTGGCGGGAGTTGTCAAACGTGGAAAAGCAAAAGAAGGAGGATTTGATCCAGAAGAATGGTTGGATCGAGGGGTATGTGATGTGAAACAACTTGATATCTCAAAAAATGTATTTTTACGAGAACTGATGGTATTTAGGATGAACGCAAGATGGCACTATTTACACAGTTTGCTATTGCGTCTGCTAAACAAGCATTAGCGGATGCACAGTGGGCCGCAGATACAGATTATGGGAAAGAGCGAACCGTATGCAATCTATGGTAAAATTGTGGACTTCATCGTCTTCTTTAGACTTTTCGAATCTTTACGTATATTGCTTTAGGGCGTGTGTATAGGGTCAGGAGTTGGAAGTTTGGAAGATGTGGTTTCAACAACACTAATATTTGAGCGTCAGGTTTGATTTGTTATTACACTATCTTTCTTTGCCCATTCGAAGAAGGATTACTAAATTTTTCCTATCATCGTAATTTGTCGCGTTATGCTTCATCCTTACAAAGGGTTACCGTAAAATTTCGCCATTCTTTGTCCCAAGGATGTTAATTAATATGGCTGCCGGGCATTTAACGATGAAATATGGATTTCGCGTAAAATTTATTTATTCTTATTTATATAATTAATTTGAAAATCTTGATATCAGGTCATTATCTCTTTCTAATTATTTTTAGGGTCCAAATCATGCAGTCGCAACTGCATGTACAACAGGAGCACATGCAATAGGCGACGCGTCAAGATTCATTCAATTTGGTGATGCAGATGTGATGGTTGCTGGAGGCTCTGAATCTTGTATACATCCTTTATCTATTGCTGGGTTTGCAAAGTTTGTATCTATCCTTGTTTTTTTATTATGCTATGTATGAATCGCGCGTTTTCTAATTTCTTTAACTCAATGTAAAGGGCTAAATCTTTAGTGACAAAAATGAATGACCGCCCTAAAGAATCGTCACGTCCTTTTGACCGAGAACGTGAAGGATTTGTAATGGGCGAAGGTGCTGGTATTCTTGTCCTTGAGGTGAGTGATTAAGATACTCAAAATACAAATATACACTTGACAAAAATAAACATAATTCTACATAATATATCTTTAGGAACTAGAGCATGCAAAAAAACGCGGTGCACGAATTTACGCTGAACTTTGTGGTTATGGTTTATCAGGTAAGCAGCAACAAATAGTTAGTCTTTTCTCAGCACGATCACTCACCATATGAGCTCGGAAACAAATCCAAGGTGACGCTCATCACATGACAGCACCACCTGAAGATGGAAGCGGAGCCGCACTTGCCATGAAAAGGGCTTTACATCACGCTAAATCCGAAAATGAAATTGACTACATTAATGCGCATGCCACTTCCACGATATTGGGAGATATTGCAGAAAATCGCGCGATAGCAAATGTATTTCCTAATAGGGTGATCGATAAAGGTAACATGTCGAATGTCTTGGCAGTCTCATCTACCAAAGGGGCTATTGGACATTTGTTGGGTGCAGCTGGGGCAGTCGAAGCCATTTTTACTGTATTGGCGGTATACGAGGTAATTTAACCATCATCATTTTTTGATGATGGTATTTTTTCTCATGTTGTTGTTATTGTTAGAATATCATCCCGCCTACATTGAATCTTCAAAAACCCGATACCGAATTCCGTCAATTCAATTATGTCCCATTGACAGCTCAACAGAAAGTTGTGCGTGCTGCGTTGACCAATAGTTTTGGTTTTGGTGGGGTAAATGCTTCATTATGTTTTCGAAAGTTTGAAGGATAATTGGCGAGAAATATGAATTAATTATTTCGACTTTAAAATTGTATGCTTTTGCAATTAATATTTCTAAGTAATAAATTAAACATTTATTCTAAAAACTACTTCAGAACTAAACAACGTTTTATCATAAAGGAGATTTGAGTTATCTATTCTTAATTTAAAATATCAGTCAAAAAGTCTTGTTATCATCCCTTTGCAATGTGATAATACCAGTATTTAATATCGATGATGCTCTATTCTCAGCGAAGCTAACATACGTCGCATCTCAAGTCTCCATAACGGTATCTTTTCAACGGCAACATCTACTTTAGCAATATCCTCATCATTAACGATCTGTGTATTTCCAATAAATGCATCCCGATTTATCCACTCTATTAAATCATCAATGTATTGATACTCTCTTTCCACCCCTAAACTCCCAAAACGATGAAATAAGTGTTCGGGTAACGCGATAGTTTGGGCCGAGACTTTTGAATTTTGTTTTAAGATTTCTAGAATTTTCGATTCTTCTTCTTTGGACTCTTGACGCATTTTTTCCTGAGATGGAAGAAAAGCCTTTCCCGCGAGAACTTTTGCAACAAAGAGAGATTGAAATTGTGCTAAGGGAAATGGCGAAACATGAAGTGGCAGACCGATAAATGACAACTAAATATCGATAATGGCTAAAAGTTAATATAGTGATAATTCGAATCAAAAGTGACAAATTAGAAATAATACTTACAGTGGGGTTAGGAATATAAAAAATATGGTTATATAAATTAAATACGCCTTTACCATTTTTTATCAGTATTTTGTTTTCAGGCAAGTCCTGCATATCATGATTCTCACTGTTATTACTATTGCCATTAACAGAAGGCAAGTAAACAAGATCTCGAAGGAATGGAAAACTGTAGAAATATCCAGTTGCGAATATTATCGCGTCAACATCACCCAAGGTACTACCATCTATAAACTCGATAATACCTTTTTTGCTATAATTATTGCCCACGATGCTGAATCTTTTGATTACAGGCTTAATTATTATTGAGGTTTTTTCATCGAAGTCTGCTAACGTAGAAGAAGAACGAATAGATTGGTAAACGGGTTTTTTGCTGATACGCACGAGTATCCGACTAATATCTATTGCTGACAAGCCACCACCAACAATTAACACCGTCTGTTATAAGCGAAAGAATGGAAATACTTTCTAATACCTAAAGGATCAATAACCCATTGACTCTGATGAACTTAAATACCTTATCAATAAAATCATTAGGTTCTCGAAAATATTTTGAGTGATACAGAACGTCAGAAAACTGTTTATTCCACTCATCCAGCCCTTCAATTTCAGGCACATATGGAACATGATAATGTCCATTACACACCAAAACTGCATCAAATTCTTCTTCACGCCAATAACATTCGATCTCACCTTCCGAACCACTTTTTTTCTTGTAATGGCGTAACACAACTTTCCAACCATCCTTCCATTCATTTTCTCGGACACGTTCTACAGATGTTTGAAATTCAACTAAGTCTATCAACATGTGATTTTCCGCAAAATCTATCAAATATTTTGTGATTACCGTGTAATGTGGAAACATTGGGATGTTTTCGGGAAAAGGTAAGTTTACATAACTCATTATTTGATGAGGAAGATTGACAAACAAATCTTTATACGTTGGAGTTGGATACTCTTCAGGAACTTTATTTTCGTGAGAATTTTTGTTGTTGATATGAATAGTTTTTGCAGGTAATGTTGAAGGAACTTCCATTAAGATGTCAAAAAAAGGTGAAGTTTGTGGAAAAGTCAATCTTGCATCTGGTTTATCGAAATAACACCTAAAAGAAATAAAATTAGATGACAAAGTATAAAGGGAGCGAGAATTAGCGAAAGGAACATACCAAACTCCCCCGAGTTGTGCGTTTCGCTCGTACACTTTAACCTCGAGCCCTTCGTCTCTCAAGTTTTTTGCGCTCACAAGACCAGCTGCTCCAGCCCCAATAACACACACGCGTTTCACATGCTTAGGAAATACGTACTTCTCTTGCATTTCACTGAATATATAAATTTCAGATTTTGAAGATCTGCAACAATAAATAATTTTTCTTAGCACATGAATTTTTTCCTGAAGACCAATAAAAATATTAGTGTTTGATCACCAGTGACGATGAGCTTTTGAATCAAAGTACTAATCATAAAGTTTGCGAGCAATTTTACATGAAAGCAAAAATAAACTGACCAATTAAAAAATTTTATTTGACATTGTTAAATTTTTCAAGACCATTCCACCAAGACTCTCATTTATCTGAAAAAACATCAAAATACTCACCAAAGAACCCACTGGATCCGGTCGCGAACCAACACGGAGAAACTGGACACCCGGGGAATTCTTACTAACCCTAACCAACACCAGTGTCGTTGTTAGTGAGTATTCGGCGCTTCTTTTCATTGGTGAGGATCCCAGCCGGAATTTTACTGGGCCAAACCATGTGTTACAGATATAGGTCATGTGTATTAAGTTAATCCGGAGAATTATAAAATTATCCGAGTTGACTTAATCCTTAATTCACTATCTTGCTTTAGTGTTCCCCATAATTTTGATTTCTGCCTTTTTGTAGTCTTTCTTTACGTTCGAATGAAATAAAAAGGAAGAGAAAATGATAAGTCCGGTTAGCTCAACTGGCTAGAGCAGCCGAGTGGTATCTCAGATGGTTCTTTCTCCTGTATTTCTTTTTCCTATATTTTCTTAGCATTTTTATCTTTCAGTAGTATCAAATTTTTACGTTCGTATGATTTGTTTGGTTTGTTGGAGGAACCACTTAGTTTGTCCTCTTTTTCTATCTGCAATTATATACACGTGTGTTCGCACGCACGTGGGAGACTTTTTTTAATTGCAGCTACTCCAACAAAATGATAAACGGTTAATTTCTTTTTAGTTCACATGGTGTAAGAGCAAGGGTTTGTTGTCGAACGCCTCGCTTTTCTTCACCAACACCCAAAACATTGATAAATTAGGATGGATTTTATCGACAATTAAAAATTTAATTCATCGAGGTCCATCTTGAGAGAGTTTTTCCCACATCAAGCTATGCATATGGACTCGAAGATTTGTTTCACATAGCGAGTTGACATTGTCCGTTTTTTCCTTCAACAAAACGAGAATATGGTCTCTTTGGTTCTATGCTGGATCGAACGACCGTTCGAACCGATTAAATTAACATCCGGCAAATATTGCGGTAGTACGACCCTGACCCGGATCTTTTTCTCCACGGAACAGCACCACTTATCCACATCAATGACGGGTAAAAACAGAAAAACGGACAATTGACCTTTTTTCTCTCTCGCGATAGCCGAACCATTTTTTACACACTCAAAATATTCTCAACAAGTTAATGACACGTTTGACTTGGTGTTTGAATGCTATTGGTGAATAATGTAAAGGAAGTCGGTCTTTGCGAACAATAAAAAGTGGTGACTTTTTTTCAAATATCAATTTTTGTGAACAACTATAACAACAGAACAACAACGTAGCAACAAACAACGAACCGGATATTAAACGTAACAGTAATTTGTGTGCTATATATAATAATAACACTTCGAATTTCATAAAAATATAATTGTATCGTATTTGTGTGTACGGAACCTGCAGTTTCGGCGACGCTTACGTATCCACGGATAGATGGATAACTTTCGCATAACGATAATAATTCATATACGATCAAAGAGAATTCTTCCTCCTTCTCTCAACCTCTGAGATAGATTCGCAAATCTTACACTTGCCCACTCATCACTCACTCTTAAAGAGAATCATCAGCAGTAACAACTACTATTACTATTGGGCATCGTGTAAACTGGAGTGGATTGCGTTTCCCGCATACTAAGAAAGAAGGAGCATCTAAAAAATCAAACTATAACCACCAAAAAAACTCGATATTGATGACGACGTAATCAAATATCAACGATCAAATAATCCTGCTCTCACTTTTGTTCCCTCTCTCGTACACATTTCCATTATTGCTATGTAAAATGAGAGCACGATTTTATATTTCAGTTCCTTTTATATTTCAGTTCCTTTTATATTTCAGTTCCTTTTATTATTCGTGTGTACGAGATTTCAAGAATGGATACAATGGCTGCTCATATTATATGCACTTTCACGACGTGTGTATGTGTGCGTATGCTCGTATCTTTTCTTCTTTTATAGTGTGTGCTCAAAAGAAATTTTTAGGAGACAAGTCCCGTAAAAAATCTGAGGACCCTTGGCAATGATGTGTGGTTCGAGTCCCACACCGGACATCTTTTAAAATATTTCATTTTTGGTTATTCTTTTCCTTTGTTTCCTCATTACAAAATCCTGAGAAAGATGGACATTGGGTAAGGAAGAGATGCAAAGATGAGGTAAGTGAAGTGAATAAATACAAGTTTATGATTTTTATTTTATTAAATATACATTAGAAGTCCCGTCCTTAGTGTACATACATCGTTGTATTAGCAGTATTATCCTAATTAAGAGAAGATTAGCAACAGGATGCGGATGCGAACCACGTTATCGTGAAAGAAGACTGACGACGTGATCATTCGAAGGAAAGCAATTCTATTTGATCAGTCTAGCAAAAAGAAAAGATTAAGTTGCGGACACGTGAAACTACGACGAACATTAAGACAATGACAATTTTAAGAATATTCAACGTTTTTATTACACAATATGCGTTTCTCCTTTAGTATTTGTAATTGGAAATAAATTTTACTTATTTGTGTTAGTATACAATCGAACCTCCATATAGTCAACTCCATATAATCACATTTTTCAGTTCCCAACTTACGAAGAATAAGAAATTTGACCTCCATATAGTCACAACCTCTTTATAATCACAGTTTTTCATATCCCGAGGGTGTGATTATAGGGAGGTCAGACTGTATTATTCTTTCTCAAATCAAACCCCCCCCCCCACTTTATTATTTTCACTGGTTTATTTATTCGCCCTTTATGAAATGAATTTGATTATTACTAAAGATTTCACACTAAATTATGTGACGAAATGTAACGTACTATTTAAAAAAAAGATATACGTCTATTTAATGATTACCATATGTACTATACTAAACATTATCGTTATTAATTTTATGCAGTAAGAATTAATGAATAATCATACATTTTACAATAGGCAAATTATTATCATCTTCATCAATCAACATTAATAATTGATTGTTTCTGCTAATTATAATAAAAATTCCAATGATAGAACTACTCAATGGACAAACCTAGAATCT